AAATATTTTAATTTCGTTTTTCTTTTTCTTTCAAATTTTGTAAAACAACTTGTGTATCGAAGCAAGTCAGACACTTACTAATAAAGGAACAAATCAAATGCGCCAGAAATCTAATTAGAATGCATCTTTGAATAAAGTGCGATGGCTTGTATCAATACTAAGTTCGTCGAAACCTAATGTACACCTTTGACAATTCATACAGCTTGTAAACAAGAGTTATTCTCTTTTGAGCAGAAAATCATAATGTACCAGTCTAAAAGCTTGATCAGACCAAAACGTGAGTAACACAAATAAAATTTAATTCAATAAAGCCTTTGTCTATTTGAGAATATAGGAAGGTTCATGAACTTGAATATTGTTTTCTGAAGTTGTTTAGAAGAGTATCTTTTTTGGGTCAAAATGTAAAATAATATCAAGCTAAATAAAATGTTAGGGACAAAACCAAATTGTAATAACACAGGATGATCATAAAGTGGATACAAACATTAGTATATATAAAATATAAATTTTCAGTGAATCACATTTTATATGAATTTTTGAAAAGTAATTCAGAAAAAAGTGAATGATCATTGAACACATCAAAACTGTCATACTTATATAAATATCCTTCTAACATTAGAAACAATTCACAGAACTAATGATATGAGATAAACAGTATAAGAGAAGAAGATTGTTGCCTTTTCTTGTTCGATCGATCATTCCATCAAATATCTCGAAGATACGCGGAAATTTTTTTAAGTATATGAACTATTCTACAAAATCTTTACTAATAAAATAACGTCGAGAATCAATAAGAACCATAAGTACTTTGAAAGAAGACTTATAAACACTTAAAAATGAAAATGAACAATTAAGACATTAGATATTTAGTTCAATAAGCCATGAATAAGAAATAGACGAGTTGATGTGTAACGTCGACACAAATGATATACATGGAACAATGATCAATGATAAACGTTTACCATTAAAATCTTTTGAAAATTCTGATGAATGTCTCAAAAGCGAATTGTTTTTGTTTAAGTTTAAGTATCAAAATTTTCGGAAAAATGACAACAATCGAATTCTCTTTCTATCATTGATACATGATGCCTACTGTTTCGGTCTTGCTATTTTCTATTATTGATGATCTTAACCGCAACTTAAGTCTCACTACAAACATCACATATTTGATCTATCGATTATGTCTAGATCATACTACATAATGAACAGAGACTCAAGAGACCGAAAATGTACCCAATTGATGTTGTATCATGTTTCTCTAAATGATGCAAATTTGTGTACTACAATTTCGATCGATGTCTCTTGTATGCGAACATAAGAGGTATGTCATTTTGAAAACAACAAATGAAGCGAATTTATTCTCAGGATTCTTGATAATGACAATTTCTGCTTGCTCTTCTACTATCACCACGGTATATCATAAACCGAAAAATTATTCTCGAGCATAAGATACGTTATTTCTGGTCATAGGAAGTGAGCCAAACATGCTAACCAAAGAAACGTGGCTCACTTCATATAGACAAAATAGACCAATCAAAATGCGAGTTTTTACTTTACCGCCATCCAACTATTTTTCCAAAACAGGACAATAGTACTTACAACCCGGAAGTACCATTCCCAAAGCAGAACAATATTACTGACAACCCGGAAATACTATTCCCATAACAGAACAATAATACTCATAACCCGGAAGTGCTATTCCCAAAACAGAACACAACTGTTCTTTTTTGGGAAAGATACTTCCGGGTTATGAGTATTATTGTTCTGTTATGATAATGGCACTTCCGGTATTAGAGTACCATATATTTTAAATGGGTATAGTATGGACTAATGGACTCCACTGTGGCTCACGCCAACTTTGGCTCACTTCGTACGACCGTTATTTCTTGAATTAGCCATGTCACTTCTTGTTATCTTTGTCCTCACATCATAACATATTCGAAGTAGGAAAAATCTCTCTTCTTATGATTGTGTGTCCATATTCAGATAGCTTCATATACTATACAATCGACTTAAACGTCGACTTTCATAAACAATCACGCAACATTTTGCACAAATCAGGTAAAAAGAAAAGTCAACTGTTTTTTTTTCTTGTGCACATACTTTAAAGAAAATCTTAGTATTCATTATATTACTAGAATTAAAATAATCAATGAAATAATATTAATTAAAACTATTAGGCTACGATCCAGAGTGTAGAATAGAATAGATTTACTGAAGACAATAAAACGGTCACTTCAAACTATAGAAATATCTTTTTTATCGTTATATTTTCACTATGGATAAAGTATAGTCGACTAGCTGATTTTGAAAGCCATATATCGTGATACATAGTACCTCTTGTAATCTGTTTTCCATGTAGTATCATTTTTAGTTTAGCTTAGATGCTTCGGTGATCTTGTTCAATGAAACATGATGTCACGTGTTTAATTCTCATACTGATCGGATGGATTCTACATCAAGGAAAAAACTATTATTTCTATTTGAACTTCAGAAACATTGAACGAAATAGAATTATAAAGGAAGAAATTAGAGTTTTTTCCTTTTCAAAAATATTCTACAAATAGTGATTTCGAATCCAATGCAAGATTGTCCTTTCAAATATGCTTAAAGGCAGGAATGCACTCACTTCATCTGGACGAAGTGAGATGGTGGCACTTGTTGGATGAAGAAAGATGATGTTTGGAGATCTCAAGCTTTTCGAACCCACGATTTAATCATAGTCTGTGGAGTGCGAAAGTTAAATCCAATCACGAAGCCAACTTGATGAGTCAATTTTCTAATGAGAAAAAGACTTTCATTTTATAGACAACCATATATTATTTATTTATTCTTTCAATTTCGTTTTGTTCTAACTGTATTGCTCTATCCGATTCAACGCTTTTTTCTTTTGACTGATGTTGTAGCTATGATTATTTCTGATATTTTATGGTAAAATTCACTGTTCTACTTGGGTTCGAATAAGTAACAATATAATTTAGTGATAACAGAAACGCAAGAGAGTACGCTAGGAAAAACTTCTGACAGTAGCTTATACTATCATTGTAATTTATGCTGAATCACCCAATAAGAGTTTTAGTTGTCTTTTTCTACAATATATGTCAAAAGCCAATGAGCAACAAGTTTTATTTTGAACCTGTACCATCATATTCTTGGTCAACTGTTATGATGACACGCATTTTTTTCGAAAGATTCAAAGAAGAAATTTATTCTCGAATAATATCACTATATGAACATTTATCTATCATTATTAATATGAACTCAAGTATTCTATTCACTTCTTCGTAAACGACAAATTTTTAAAAGCTCTTATTAGAAAATTTTTCAAAAAATTTATAATTTTTGGAAGCATTGACTGTATGAATGTACTTATTATCATCCATTTGCTTTGCTTAAACATTTGATTTTGATTCGTCTTATACAATGAAGCATGAGACTAAGTTTCAGTGACTTGAAACAAAAAATAAGAAAAGAGTCTTTTGAATGAGATGATGACGTTTGTAATGTTACAACAACAACTTTCGGAATGCATAAGGTCTCTGCATGAATAAAAAATTGAATTTCTTTTATCTGTTCCTAATGGCTACGGTATTTTGATAAGCAATACAATTTTTGAAATATTTTTTCTTTGAATAGCTGAATCAAAGAAAGATCAACGAAACAAATTGATTATTTTGAAATATTTAGTGGAGAAAAATTTTTTTTTTTCAACTGATCTAATTTTACATCAACATCAAAATCAAAATTTCATTTGAGAGATTTTTACAAAGTATTGCATTGTTTTCATCAAGCTGTCTTTTCTTAATTTGATTGAGAACACAAATTATCTACAGTTTAACCTACATAATTCACAAAGATTTTCTTACTGTTGATGATGAAGACTCTTGCTTTGACAGATCTCATCTATCGACACTATCAAAAGATGCATCTACTAACATCTGTAATATGATGTAATGAAGATATGGTTGGTTTTTGATTAGTTTTATTATAGGATTTGAAATAATGTTGAAAAAAAACTCGATTGATTGGTTTCATCTTGCATCTTTGTTTTTATTCATAAGCGAATCAATGAACTTACAGTAATCACTTTCATAAGAATAGGTGCTCCTTCGTCACAAGAATGCTGCTAGAAGAAAAATCATACTTCTGTGTTTTTTCATAGTTCTTCACATGCATATCTTTCTTATATTGTTTTGTGTATTTCTTACACTCAAGATATAAAAGAGAAAGATGGTCAGTTCCTCTGTATGATATCAATTTTCCTTAAAATAATAATAATAATAAAATAATGAAAGTACCATTTATAGCAGAAGACGAAGTACCAGCTCTCTTGCTACTATCATTTTTTTGCACTGATATATTCAAAGTGAAAAAGACGTTATACTATTTCCAACAACTGCCGTGACATAAAAAAGACATACTAAATTTTTGAAAATCGTCGGTATTAAAGATCAATTTGACTCAAAATGTTGTGGTCGTCTAATTTCTTATTATCAGGTTTTCTATCATCATTTTATCTTTTTTTTAATTTATAACCTTTTTGAAACGTAGAAAACTTTTGGACAAAAGTACAATTCAGCCACATACCGTCTCCTAAATAATGCAGTTTTCTAATTTTTGCAAATATAAACAATTATGTCACAAATATATCAAGAATCATGTTTTCATTTGCCACAACAATTAAAATGAAATTAAAAAAAGAAAACGAATATAAAACGTATAGCAAAAATAAAAATAAAAAAAACAAAGGCGCCTTCAGTCATAAAAAAAAATTCATTGCTGAAGGAATGTGGGTGTCGGTTTAAACGAAGCAAAGACTTACACTTACATCCACATATCAGAAACAACTTTTTGTTTTGACCGTAATAAGTCTTCAATTTGATTTTCTGTTGCAAGTCATTCCGACAAGCAGCCACCGTAATCAAGATAATTAGTATGATCACATTGTGGATGTTTGTGTGCTTGTGCATGAAAAAAAGACTTTTAAACTCATATTTACACTAATAAACAATGTCGAGTACACTTTTAGTCGCATTGTATAATGAGTAGCTTTCAACGCATACATTTTCCAATAATATTGTTGTAAATTGTTCATCCACTTCTATTGTTTTAACACGAAATGATGTCCAAGGAAGTATTAAAACTTCTGCTTCATTTTCATATTCTGATATACATGATAATTGATGATCAGCTATTGCATTCAAATTAATTCCTTTCTCGCATATAGTAGGAAAGTCACATACCATCAATACTTTAATTTTATCTGATGGCGCTTCTGCACTAGTAAAACTTTCTGCTACATCTCGATTCAATGATGTCGATGAGAATGTAGTTGTTAATATAAGGCTTTCATTAGTTCTTAAAGCCCAACGATAATTATTAACATCTTGTTTTGTCATCAAGACCCCGCGATACACTAGACCTTTATAATGTCGGGTTTTTAATTGAGGAGCATCTGCTAGTACAGCACTTAATAACGGAAAGATATTATTGTCTTTTAGTTGCCTATAAAATGGTGTTTCTAATGTATAAAGTTTTAATAAATATTCAAGTGTTCCTGTTTGCTCATATTTCGATAATAAAAAGCAACATTTTTTATATTCATGATGTGAAGGAGTAACAAATTTATCAATCATTTCTTGTATTTTTTTGACTCGATGCGTTTTATCATACACCAACTTAAGTAGCTGCAATATATCAGATGGTAAACTTTCTTGTAATATACTTTCGTACTTTGATATCATTTTGTTGATAAAAAACCTAAATGGACTTGATATCAAGATTGTTTTCGCACTACCTGCATAGGATAAATTTTTCAACATGCGTAATTCATCTTCTGTACCAACATTAGTTAGCCATGAAGACTCAGTGAAAGTAACATTATCATTTGATTCTGTATGTATCTCTTGATCGTCTGCTTTGATAATTTGAAATGTCTGTTGAGTACTTTCATTATCACAAAATCGATTTATATTCAATGGTCGATAAAATAATTGTTTTATATCATCTGTTTCAGCTTCTTCATATGCTGTAAGACCATGTAAATTACGTCGATGTCGTTGAACACCATGCTATTGTAGAAGTAGATGAACAATTTCTGTATGACCAAAATATGTTGCTGCATGTAATGGTGTACTTCCATTTGGTTCCAATGTATTCAAATCATTATATGATATTGTTAATAATAATTGTTTGACTCGTTCAATATCTCCATTTCGGCAAGCCCAATAAAACTCACTTGCTTTACCTTCTTGTGGTTGATCAAGAATTTTTTTTTCTTGTTTCACTTCAGTATCGATCGTATTACCCATAATAATAAACGTCTACAGTACCTAAAAAACGTGTTAAATATTATCAAATAGCATTTTAATTTAATTTACTGAATTTAGAACAGAAAAATATGAAATTCTAAAAATAATCGATGGACTTGAAATTTAATGAATAATCTCTTCTCTTTAAGACTTTCGAAGTACTTTCATAATTCTGCTGTATCTTTTTTTTTTCTACTCGATCTTAAGCAGATGAATGATAACAGATACTTTAGAATAAATAGGTCTTTCAATATTTTGGCTAGGAATTTTCTATGAAATAATTTGATTAAATTTGCCATTTTTTTTCAATTTTAAAAACTTGATACATTCTTTTGAAAGAATAATGAGCATTTTAGAAAATAATGCTTTTTCCAGTTTTCATTGAAATTTTTGTCGTTTCGCTAAACAGAATATCTTCCTTCTAACAGAATACAGAACAAAATTGGTTCTACTAACAAAAAAAACAAAAAATGTTCCACGATCTGGACACTGTTACATCCCTGTCCGTTCGAGCTACTACTGAAGCAAATAACAAAAACATTTAACCCCTCCCCGTAATAGAAGCCCCTCCCATATTAGAAGCCCTCCCCCTATTAGAAGCCCCCTTTAAAGGATTTATCCAGTAAAATTTGCAACTTTTCCCAGCAAAATCCGGCCCAAGTTTGCAAGGCCTAATAGAAGCCCCGGGGGGCTTCTAACATGGGAGGGGGTTTAAGTCATATCAGTTATACTATCTTGTAGAGAATTTCGAGATGTATCTTTTGGAAAAAAAATATTCACGTCTAAAAGCTACAATGAAAAGAATTTCTTGTCAAAATATTGAACGATCAATTTATTCTGAAATACGTGCTATGTACACATAAATATTTAGTGTAATTAAATGTATACGAACTACTACAAACACTCATAATTTTGTTTTTTGTTTCATAATCAAATAAAATCATTGTTGTCAAGGTCTTATTTTAAACGTGTTTTCAAATCTACTATTATATTCAAAACTTTAATGTGTAGTTCCAAAGATGTTCTATTATTATTTTGAAACATAAAGCATTTGAAAATCCATGAAATAGCTCAAGGTTTAGGCACTAAAAATTAATTAAGCTACAGTATTTTGACTTTACCTACAAGATTTAAATGTGAAGGAAAATCTATTCAATAAACTTGACCTATTGTGCAACTTCTTTCGAGAATATCTCAAATGTGAAGAACTCATTTATAAGAATTTCAAATCAGCTTCTTCAGCCACTTTTAAGTTCTCAAAAAAGAAAGAAATATTGTTAAAGAAGCTGGATTGAGTACTTAGTGTATATACGTACTTCTTTTTCTTATTTGCAAATCACTTGTTATTCGATTGTTTGAAATATTTGTTTCTAATCTTTTTCATTCGAGTGAATGACACAGCATTGACAATCCATAATTTATATATAAAGTTGAATGAGATTACTCATATTCATCGTGAAAGAGTGACAAACAAAAATTATTACTGAAATATGACAAAAAGTGTTCGTTTTCTTTCCAATTAATAGTGACATTATTTATTTTGGAAAGATTTTTTTCCTTTGTGTAAATGATAACAGAAAAAAAAAACAACATTTAAGTCCCAGATGATGTTACTCAACACTAAGAAATATAAAAATACATTGCCTTCCTCTCTCTTTCTTTTATGTAACAAATGACTCATTTCTTTAACCAAAAAAAACTAGCGTAAAGCAATAGAGCTGCTATGGGATGTAGCTGTGTGGATGTGAGTGTGAATGTAATTGAAGTGATTACATGCACCCACATCCCCATCAGGTCTCGACATGAACACAGAAAATTAAGGTCTTCCACTTGTTTCTAATGACAACGATATTTTGATTGACAATACAATTATTGAGAAACTTTCATGAAATAAATTTTTGTCTTAACTCATTTTTTGAAATATTTCTTCTTTGAATTGCTGAATCAAGAAAAAACGTTCAACGAAACAAACTGATCATTTTGAAATATTTAGTAGAGAAAATTTTTTTTTCAACTAATCTATGTTTATATCGAATCCAAAATCAAAATCTCATTTCACATGTTTTCAAAGAGTATTGTATTGTTTTTATCAGGCCATGTTTTTTCTTAATTTGACGGAGAACATCAATTTTCTACAGTTTAACCTATGTAATCCACAAAGATTTTCTTACTGTCGGCGTCGACTTTTGTCTTGACAGATTTCATGCATCGATACGTTCTCTAACCATTACGACCGTAGAGGAACACAGAATATAGAGAATCTAAAGTATAAAAGAATGAGAACAAGATGGAGGATTACACTAATCGACATTAAAGAGTCTTCTGGAATCATATGAAGCTTACAAGACCGTTTCTATCCATCTCCCGAAGAGTTTCCGGTATCAAAGGACGACATCCACCTTGTCGATAAACTCAGGATATCAAAATGAAGTACAAGTCGTTTAGGCTTATGAAGACAATGAACTCTTGATCTTTCTTTTACCTAATGAGATCTATGTGCATTTAGAGAAAATTGTTCTACGAATAAGTAATCATCACATGATTCTGTCAAACAACGATAACATATATTGTCGTACTACTTATTTACGTAAATTAATAAGAATTTAAACATGTTGGAAAACTCATGTTCAAGATAATGTCACATTTTGAACATATGTTTGTCTTTTCTAGATAAGGACTTAGGTCATCGTACTCGGCTTTCGACTATATGAAAAGAACAAGGAGCAAAAGAAAAAAGATACTGTCTTAAATTGAGTTAAAATGAGTCAATAGCTGAGCGATTTTTATTAGTTCGGATACTATGTCTCAAAAAAACAAAAGTTCATGTGAATCGATATTTATCCCTAACATTTGAATCAGAATAGATTAAAGAGAAAAGTCTTTCGATTGTTTTAGTTTTATGACTGTTTGCATTTTTTCTAATATTATGTTCTCGTGTTTCAATTCTTCTTTCAACGTATGTGATAACATAACTACCGTATGATTCGATGCAAAACATTAGACATGTGGTGTATCGATAGATTAGTCACTGACAAAAGATTTCTCTGGTCTGATTCTTTTTTCAACCTCCTAGATAATGCGTTTTTTTTCGCAAAAATTTTACCCATAGATAATAAGTTGATGCTCTTGTATTGTGGCACTGAAATACAGATGACTTTGTGTTCGGTTTTATTTTTTAGCTTCTGACTAATGAATAGAAATTACTAATTAGATACATACCGATATTATTATTTTTCATGATGCTGTTAGGATTCTGTATGTGATATGTGCTTTTTTTTTACTCTATTGATATTGCTCTTTTTCAGTCTTTCGGTTCGTTAATGAATGACATTAATAGAAGAGTGAGTACAGTTCACGAGAATCTAACCCTGTTGGTACGCAACTATAAAATAGCATCCACTTCGGGCATCAAAGCTCCTTTGTGCAAGTATCGTTTTCCATATGCATATAGCCAAATATTTACAATATATCTATACTTTCATGTCGAGAACTTGTACATAGTTGAATATTGGTCGATTTGTTTAAATTTCAATGACTTGGATGGTGTGTTTGTTCCTCGATCATTTCTTGCCACATACCCGAGTGACTACCTTAGCGCAAATATGCGTGAGACACAGGGCAAAAATCACACTTATTAGTTGTTCGTTTTCATGTTGATTCTCTTATTCTAGTTGATCAATCATTTGAATTTCAACAATGAAATATGATGTAGAATCAATTCAAAGACCTATGCTTTCTTATTCTTGTTATTTTCTTATGCAAACCAAATCGAATAAGTCGTCCATAGACTCAGTATTCTGTTTGCCAGTGTTTGAAAGATTTTGTTAACGATTTAACATTGTTTTGGCAAAATATATTTACTCATAGTAGTATCACTAGTGAGAAGTATTTTTCAAAATTTTTCTTTGTCGTAACTTTTTTTTGTGCATACTCTAACAATTCACCTCTATCAATTTCAATAGATTTTATATCTAATTAAATATAGCTCATGTTGTTCTTTCCTCATTTAATTTCATGCAAACAAGTAAAATTTCTGTGACCAACGCCCATATGACTTTTTTTTGTATATATCTGATTAGTTTTGTTTTTGTCTTTTTTCAAAAACCAAACAATTACCACACATATAAACATATGCATGCAATCATATAAGAACGTTAAATTGAAACTATTAATAGATACAGAAGCAATATTCAATTTCTTCTTGTGTTACTGTTCTAATTAGTACTGTCACCATAAGCAATATTATCACGTACACTCAAATTAAAAGAAGAATAGGTTCTTGTTGAACAAGACCAAATTGTGATCGTAACCATGATAGATTCAGTAAATGAACATCATGGCCATCGAGAAATACTGTGCCATGATATGGATCATAAAAACAAAGAATTAATGCTACACATGTACAGGGTGGCGCATAAGTCACTTTACCGAAAAAAAATTGAATATCTCCATTATGGCTGGAGCAAATGAGCTGATTTTTTTACCAATAATAGAGGCATGTACAAGCTTTATATCCATAAAGACATGCCTAAAGAAACCCTTTGTTAAGTATATTGTTTTTTCTCCTATCTGTCAAAAAGTAAAGCTTTTTTTGTTGAGATCAATAGTGATACTTAACAANCAACTCCAATAGAAGAATACGTCCAGCTTTTCCTATGGAGTGCGGCCTAGTGACAGATTCAATAGCCCAATATCTTTCGTACAGTTAGGATTAGCTATACCTCTGAACAGAATGCTGATCTGATGCAGACTTTTTGTGCTCAATTGCTTGAGCTCCTCATACACACTAAGTAACCACAATAGCAGGTATATGTTACAATATAGACAGCATACTATCGGACAAGTTATTCGAGACAAACAGCCGTTACTAAGTTGTCCAGAATCATTTCATCGTTGATGTCATCAAGGTTTAAACACAGTGGCATCAACTTCAAAGACTTATGGAGACGAATATTTTAAGGATTTTTATTGTCTTATGAAGACCTTCCTGTAAGGCTAAT